TCACTGTGACCCGCGCGTGTCGTTTCTGCAGCCCCCCAGGGCTGCCCCCCGGCCCGCGGGCCCGCGACGGAGCCTGCAGCTTACTCAGCACCCTCTTGCCCAGCCGCTGAGCTGCCATCGCGTCCTGGCCGCGGACCCCGTGCCGCGCAGTGCGCCTTCGCCCTGCACCCAGGGGGCCTCTTACGGAGCGGGGCGGGGCCGGCAGGGGGCGGGGGCTCCAGCTCACAGGGGATCGACCCGCCCTAGTGGCCCCGGGCCTCAGCTTTCCCGCCTTCAACGCTTGAGGGAGGACTGGCCGCTGTGCCGCCGGCGTAAAGCCCGCAGCCGAGCAGAGCTCAAGTCTGGGCAGGGTCTGGGAACCCCTGGCCCGCTGGGCGGCTGGGCGGCTGGGGCTCCAGGGCACTGGATGCCGGGGGCGGGGTACCGGGACAGGCTCAGGGGAACTGGCCTGTGTGCGCCCTCTGGCTGTTGGCAAGGAACGGTGCAGGAAGCCCTGTGCCCCCTTTCTTTGCCACAGAACCTCAAGCCATAGTACTCACAGTACATCATTTGTTCGTTGTTTCATTTATTCACTCATCCTCACATTCATCCGTCCATTTATTCGCTCAGTCTACAAATATTGAGTGCCTGCTCTATAGCAGGGCAGTGAACAGAAGAGACGAGCCCAGTCTTCATGGAGTTGTTCTTGTAGTGGAGACAGGCAGCAAACATAGTAAGTAAGTACATCATACAGTTTATTAGAATATGATCAGGTCTGCGGAGAAACAGGAAGCAGAAAAGGAGAAATGGAGTGAGGGCAGGGTTGCAATTTTGGTAAGGGTGACCAGAGAAGGCCCTTACTTTACTTCACCGGTCTCCCCACTTCTGATTATAAGCAGTAACAATGATACTTTAAAACTTAACTTTGGCCCTGGCCGGTTTGGCTCAGCGGTTAGAGCGTCCGCCTGCGGTCCGGAGAGGCCCGGGTTCGGTTCCCGCTAAGGGCATGTACCTCGGTTGCAGTTTGTCCCCGGCCCTGGTTGGTCGTGCGGGTGGCAGCCACTCGATGTGTCCCTTTCACATCGATGTTTCCCTCTCTCTCTCTTCCTCTCTCTCCCTCCCACTCTGTCTGTACAAAAAAATGGAAAAATGTCCTCGGATGAGGATTAAAAAAATAATAATAATAAAAAAGTAACCTTTAAAAAAAAACAACAAAAAAAAACTTAACTTTGGGTCTGTGGCCGGTTTTGATCAGTGGTTAGAGCATCCACTCGAGGACCAGAGAGTCTCGGGTTCGATTCCAGTCAGGGGCACGCACCTTGGTTGCGGTTGGTCCCCTGGCCCCGGTGGGGGTCGGGTGGGAGGCAACCAGTCGATTTTTTCTCCCTTCTCACTGTCTGAAAATAAAATGGAAAAATATCCTCGGGTGAGGATTAAAAAATAATAATAATAAAACATAAATAAATAAATAAATAATAACAATTTTGGACCCTGCCAGCGTGTGGTTCATTGGATTGAGCAAACTCTCATGGACTGAGAGGTCCTGGTTCAATACCTGGTCAGGGCACATGCCTGGGCTGTGGGCTCCAACCCCAGTAGGGGGCGTGCAGGAGGCAGCTGATTGATGCTTCTCTTTCACATCAATGTTTCTATTTCTCTCCCTTTCTCTCTAAAAAAATCAATAAAAACATACTTAAAAAGAAAACCGTTCAAACCTGTAGAGAATTTTCATGAGTTTATTTGAGCCACAGTGAGGACATATACCAGGGAGCAAGACCTCAAATGCTTCAGAGAACAACAATTTTGCAATTTTTTTTCATGCACTTAAGATTAACGGGGCAGGCCGGCCAGTGTGGCTCAGTGGTTGAGCATCCATCAACCCATGCACCACGAGGTCACCGGTTCAATTCCTGGTCAGGGCACATGCCCAGGTGGTGGGCCCAATCCCCAGTGGGGGGCATGCAGGAGGCAGCCAATGGATGTTCTCTCTCATCGACATTTCTCTCTCCCTCTCCCTTCCTCTCTCTCTAAAATCAATAAAAGAAAAAATCTATTTAAAAAAAGATTAAGTGGGGAACTAAGGAATATTATGTGAAGGTGGGAGAAAGCAATGCAGGGACTCAGGGACTGGATTACAGGATAGTTAAGATCATGTGTTCTCTTGAGGATGGTAAGTTTATGTTAAAGATGTGTTAACCTAAATGTGTTTTCTTAATTTTTTTTTTCTTTATTGATTTTAGAGAGGAAGGGAGAGCAAGAGAGAGAGAATCATCAATGAGAGAGAACACCAATTGGCTGCCTCCTGCATGCCCCCCACTGGGGATTGGACTCACAACCTGGGTATGTGCCCTGACCAGGAATTGAACCGGTGACCTCTTGGTGCATGGGTTGATGGATGCTCAACCACTGAGCCACACTGGCCGGGCTGTGTTTAAATTTTAAAACAGTGAACCAGGGTATGAACTGCAAGGTGTAATATTTTTATTTGGTAAATGCAAATTTTCATTCATACTGAATTTGAGTAATATCTCGAAAATTAAAATGTATTCATTTTCAGTTCATTTTAAAATGAAAGAATAAAATAATTATTGAAAATAATTTTATGTTAGAGAGGAGGGAATTATAAAAAATTAGTTAACAGTAGTTTCACCACTGTTCCCAACATTTTTTAAGTATGTTTTTTATTGATTTTAGACAGAGAGGAAGCGAGGGAGAGAGAGAGAAACATTAATAAGAAACATGAACTTGGATGGGCTGCCTTCTGCATGCCCCCTGCTGGGGATCTGGCCCAAAAAGCATGTGCCCTAACCAGGAACTGAACCAGCGACATCCTGGTGCATGGGTCAATGTTCAACCACTGAGCAACACTGGCCGGGCTGTTCCCAACATTATAAAGGGAGTTCCATCAGGTCAGAAATTTGGGATTGTTTGCTGCTGAATCTTCTCCAGCATTTACAGTAGTACCTGGTTCATAGTGGTTACTCAATAAATGTACTGAATGAAGGCATGGAGGACGGATGGATGGATGGATGCATGAATGAATGAATATGCCATGCCTATGCCTCCTCTCCAGCCTCACCTCTTACTTCAATCTTCTCAGTCTTCCAGTTCAAGCCTGAGCTTAGTGGAACAGGGTAGGGTAGGGTGCCCAGATGCTAAAGAGACCTTTGGCCTCACATTCAGCCTCTTGTCCTGGAGTCCCAGGACCTCACTACAATATTAAAGAAGATGCACTTTGCACAGTGGCAGTATCATGGCCAGGGAGGTTTATCTGAGGTGCAATTATTGCTAATTGGAAAAAAAGAGAGATGAAAATGATTTAAAAGGATGGCTGGCATAAAACTTTAACTCTTTAAGGTAAACACCATTTTACTCAGTTAAGGCTCTTCACACACCAGGAGTGGGCAGAAATAGGTTTATAGTTGCGAGTACAGGAAACAGAGTTTATTTTTGTATTATTGTTTATTAATTTTTGTATTATAACTGTAAACCTACTTTTGCCTACCCCTGTATTAATGTCAGGAGTGGCCCTGGCTCCTGTAACATACTATTGTCTTTCTTGTCTTAGGACTTTTGCTTTTACTGTTCCTGATTCCTGGAATGTCTGTCCATTAGCCCTTTTTATTTTTCAGTGTTCATTTTCAAAACCACCTATTCATGGGCCCTCATCCACTACCCAGCTCAGTACGTCTCCTTTGTTATTCTCCTCTACTCCTATGCTTGTCCCACTCCATCCTCTTTCTGAGATTCAGTTCCTCTTCCAGGAAGCTTCTCTGGCCCCCCAGGCTGGGTCAGGTACTTCCTCTGGGCTTTCCTGCTTTCAGGACTGATTACTCGGCCACGCTTCCCTATCACTGCCCTAACACCTATCCCAGTCTGGTGAGTCAACTGTCTTCATCCCAGGACTAGGAACCAGAGGCAGGGCCTGAGGCTGGTGTTCATTCATGAGTCTACCACCTCCTCCGGGGGAAGCCTTTCCTGGCCCTTTTTAAAAAAATTTTCTTTATTAATTTTAGAGAGAGAGGAAGGAAGAGGGAGAGAGATAGAAACATGGATGAGAGAGAACACTGACTGGACACCTCCTGCATGCCGCCCACTGAGGATGGGGCTCACAACCTGGGCATGTGTCCTGACCGGAAATCAAACCGGCGACCTCCTGGTGCATGGGTCCATGCTCAGCCACTGAGCCACACCAGCTGGGCTCCTGGCTCTTTCTCACACTGAATGGGGAACTTGTCTGGGTTTCCATCATCCACCATCCTAGTTCACGATCACTTAGCTTGTGCCTTCCCATCACAACCCTAACCACTCTGCCCTATGCTTCCGTCATCAGGATTCTGGACTGTTCCTGTCTGAGGACGCAGGGACTAGCCTGATGTGGTCAATGCTGGATTACCGAATGCCGAGTAGGCGTTTAGGGGACGTCGAATTTAGGGAAAACATAAATCCCTCTTCCTCAAAGGAAGTCTGACTTGAGACGGGCAAAAAGCCACAGACTTCCAGGAAAAGCGTGTCTGTGCCCTCTGCGCCCACGCGGAGGCCCAAGAGCAAAGGTACTGGGATGTCATCATCTAGCTCAAGGGAAAGGTGAGCAGGAAGCCCCGGCTCAGCGGGAAGGCACCTACCCCCCAGGCCGGGCGCCTACCCCCTAGGCCAGGCGCCTACACCTCCAGGCCCGGTGCCTACCCCCTAGGCCGGGCGCCTAGCTCCCCAGGCCGGGCGCCTACCCCCCAGGCCGGGCGCCTACCCCCTAGGCCGGGCGCCTAGCCTCCAGGCCGGGCGCCTACCCCCAGGCCGGGCGCCTAGCTCACCAGGCCGGGCGGCTACAGCCCAGGCCGGGCTGTACCGGGAGCCGAGCCAATGCAAGCCGGGTCCCTTTCCCCCGCGCCAGGGGGTGGACCCAGGTGCGCCAAGGGAGTAGGATGGCCACACAGGTGCTCGCTCCCTGCGCCTGCGCTCTGTACGCCCCGCCTCGCCAGGTGCGCCCCGCCCCTGGCCGGCCACCTTCAGGAGCCTTTTAAGGCGGCAGCCATTGGCTCCAACCCCCACCGAACAAATTGGACCTGTGGCGGGGTTCTTAACGGTGGGGAGTCGCTGTGTGTCATTGCTGGCAAAGGGGCGAGTGAGGGACATTCTTCCGTATTGTGACGGCTGGAGGTAGAGAGTCCTCACACCGAAGGTCCGAGAAGGGGGCTCCCTTCCGGAGACCTCGGCGCGAGCGCGAGCGCCAGCGCAGACCCTCGGCGAGCGTGCGCACCTGAACGCGAGGCGCTCCGGTGCGCGTGCGCGTGCGCGGCAAGGGGCTTCCCGCACCTGATCGCGAGACCCCGACGGCCCGCGGCTGGAGGCTTCGTCTGCGCGCGGCCGGCTCGAGCTAGTCATGGCGCAGCTGTGTGACCCGAGGCGGTGCCCGGTGCTCCTCGCCCTGCTGGCTTCGCTGCTCCTCTTCGGGGCCGAGGCGGCCGACGGAGAGCCGGACGTCCACGGTGAGAGCCCGGGCGGGTCTCCTGAGAGGAGCGGGTCTCCCGAGAGGAGAAGGCGGGACGTTAGGGGCGGGATGTGGGGGTTAAGTCGGGATCGGAGGGGCCCTGGGCAGAAGGTCTGAGCCGGGAGAATCGGCGGGGGAGGAAATTGGAGACGACTTGACGAAGCTCAGGGGGTGTGGCGGAGCCAGGTCCGGGAGAGCGAGCCTTGCCAAGGCGTTTGGCAGCTCTCGGGAGTGAGGACAGGCGCCGGAGTCAGGGTTGAGAAAGTTGCCTGAGGGGGAGGGAGGAGAGCAGGCTGTGCGCCGGGACGGGCTCGGCCCCTCCCGGAGGCGGGAAGGGTGAGACCCCACCGGAGCGCCAGCCCCTTCCCGGCAGCAGAAAGTTCCAAGCTCGGGAAAGCCCCGGGAGGCCAGGCCCGAGAGGATGGGGTTGGATTGGGTGGTCCGGCGGCTGTTTGCTTCGGGAAAGAGGGCCCCACCCCCACCTCCGTGGATGTGGGACTTCGGCCTCCGCAGAAAGCTTTCTGGTTGGGCTGCAGGAGGGCGCCTCCAAGGAGGAAGGTGCTTCGCGGGGATAGCCACAGGAAGAAGGAAAGCAAAAGTGTTGGAGGGGAGAAGCGTTGCCAGATGCCAGGGTGGGGACGCCTTGGTGGAAGAAGAGTATTGACGCCCTGGCCGGGTGGCTTCATTGGTTGGAGCGTCGTTTCGCACACCAGACGGTTGCGGGGTTTGGTCCCCCCGATCGGTGTTTCTCATATCGATGTTTCTCTCTCCCCCGTCTTCTTTCTAAAATCAATAAAAAAACATATCCTCGGGTGAGGATTTAAAAAAAAAAAAGCATTGGGCCCTGGCCGGTTTGGCTCAGCGGTTGGAGAGTCAGCCTGCGGTGGGTTCGGTTCCCGCTAAGGGCACGTACCTCCCTCCGTTGCAGTTTGTCCCCGGCCGTGGTTGGTCGAGCGGGTGGCAGCCACTCGATGTGTCCTTTTCACATCGATGTTTCTCTCTCAATCTTCCTCTCCCTCCCTTCCCACTCTATTTGAACAAAAAAATGGAAAAATGTCCTCGGGTGAGGATTAAAAAAAAAAAAGCATTGGGCCTAGTGTGGCTCAGTGGTTGAGTGCGGAGCCCTGAACCAAGAGGTCCCCGGTTGGATTACCTGTCAGGACACATGCCCAGGTTGTGGGGCTGATCCCCAGTAGGGGGCATGTAGGAGGCGGCCAGTCGATGTTCTCTCATGGATGTTTCTCTCTCTCCCTCTCCCTTCTCTCTCTCTAAAATCAATAAAGAAAAAAAAACCTTGGCTTTGAGGAGTTGGGCTTGGGTTCATTGGATTGGTCCTTAAGAAGTTGGTGGAGCCCTGGCCGGTTTGGCTCAGCAGTTAGAGCGTCAGCCTGCGGTCCGGAGAGGCCAGGGTTCGGTTCCCGCTAAGGGCATTTACTTCGGTTGCAGTTTGTCCCCGGCCCTGGTTGGTCGTGCGGGTGGCAGCCACTCGATGTGTCCCTTCACATCGATGTTTCTCTCTCTCTCTCTCTTCCTCTCTCTCCCTCCACTCTATCTGTACAAAAAATGGAAAATGTCCTCGGGTGAGGATTAAAAAAAAAAAGAAAGAAAAAGAAAAGAAGTTGGTGGAGCCCTGGCCGGTTTGGCTCAGCGGTTGGAGCACTGGCTTGCGGACCAGAGTCCCGGGTTTGGTTCCCACTAGGGACACGTACCAAAAAAAAAAAAAAGTGCTGTGTTCGCTTAGGCAGCACATATACTAAAAATTGGACAGTACAGAAAAGATTAGCATGGCCCCTGCGCAAGGATGACACGCAAATTCGTGAAGCGTTCCAAAAAAAAAGTTGGAGCGTTAAGTTTTAAACCTCTTCACTCTTAAAGAAGTTTGTCTTGAAAGATCTGTTTGAGCAAGTGTTGTTAGAACCATAATTGCTTGAGACAAGCAAAAGTGGACTTTGAAAATAACTCCTGGAAGAACTCATTGATTCAGCAAAACTTATTGAGCCCCTGCTGTGTGTCTGGGACAGTGCTTGTGAGTCAGACAAGCGGGTCCCTGCATGCACCGAGCTTATATTCTGATGGGGGAAGCAGAGACAGTGAGTAAACATTTAAATAAAGAGCACTCATCGCAATATTAAATTACTAAGAAGTAAATGAACAGGGTGAAGTATGCAGACGAGGTGGTAAGATGATTGGGACCACTCCCCCCCCCCCCCCCCATATAATCACCTAAAATTGTATTCTCTGATGAACAAACAGCAGGTTCCAAATTTAATTTTTTCCTTTAAAAAAGTACACCATTCAGGTTCACGTGTATTTTGGGGGACAATTTTCTTCTCTTGCCATGCTCTATGACTTGCCCTGTGACCCAGATGTATGTCTGTGTTCTTGTACTCCCTCCTGGTCTTTTCTGTCCTTCAACAAGACTGTGTTCCTAGAGTTGTGCCCCCCTTTCACCTCCCCCTCCTTTGGTGGGTGCCTAGCATGTGAACAAAGAAGCCGGCCAGCCTGCAGGGCTCCTTGTAAGATCCATAGGGAACCAGAAACAGTTCGTTTCTTCCTTGTTTGCAGTCCAGCTTGACTAAGTAAAAAAGGGCCGTACTGGTGTGCAAAAGAAACCTGTCAGGCATCCTCTCTGAGAAAAGAAATTCTCTCCAGAAAAAAATAAAAAGTACTTGATAAATATATATATTTTTAATCCTCAATCAAGGATTTTTTATTTATCATCAGATAGAGTGGGACTCATTGGTCTGCAGGCTGACGCTCTAACCACTGGGCAAAACCGGCCAGGGTGAAAACTTCATTTCCCTTTGCCCAAGGCAGATAGGAAATAAATGAATTAATGGGGATGTCAAGGGCTCAGCTCTAGAGAACCAAGACTTGGGAATGCATTATTCTTATTCTGTGTTCGTTATTCTTGCTGTGTAAACTAGGATTTGTCAGCGCTTCTGGACTTTTGTAGATGAAGTAATTATCTTAAGGATGTACAGTACATTCCAGTTACCTGGCCTGGACTTTGTCAAAACTGAGTTTAGTGCTAACGTCTATTGCTTTGATCTCGTATGTGTTATTTAATCCTTGAGATAACTTGGTGTGGTGGTGAAGTTACAGATCTTATCTAAGGTCACACAATAGTAACTGACAAAGCCAAGTCTGGCTGCAGAGGCCTTCTCTGTTCCCAGTGGCCTTTCCGGCTGCTGCACGTAGATGGACCTATTGACCTTTCAGAAGTACTCCTGTCTGGCTGGGTCAACTACTGCCCTTGCTTATCTGAAGTTGTTTGTTTGAAAGCTTTCAACCGTTTTGACTTTTTTTCCCCCCTTCTTTCCTGATTGCTTTGATTTTCATTGAGTGAGGTGTTTCTCCAGCCACATGCAACTGCGCATAGGCTCTGCCAGATGAGCAGGGTGGAGAAGGGAAATTGTGTAGTGAATGCATGTTAAGGGAGTGAATATAATGGTAGATCAGTCCTGGCCGGTTTGACTCAGCGGCTAGAGCATCGGCCTGCGGTTCGGAGAGACCTGGGTTCTGTTCCCACTAAGGGCATGTACCTCGGTTGCAGTTTGTCCCCGGCCCTGGTTGGTTGTGCGGGTGGCAGCCACTCGATGTGTCCCTTTCATGTCGATGTCCCCCTCCCCCCACACTCTACCTGAACAAAAAATGGAAAAATGTCCTCGGGTGAGGGGGGGAAAAATGGTAGATCAAGGAATTGAATTTGAAGATATGAGGAGGCTGAGGAGTCATGGAAGGGTCTTAGGGCTAATGGATTGTTGAAGTTCTGGAGGGAATGAACCAGAATGATAGGGCATGATGGCCAGTGAGTGAGAGGCATGAAACAGGCTCTGAAGAGGATGCAGTTATTAAGACAAGGTCTAGGTATGAGGGAGGGTCTGGGGGAGGACAGGGTCATTGGAGGAGAGGAGGTCTAGGGACCAAGAGGCCAGGATGGTTCAGGGACACCCGCCTGGATGTGGAAATCACTAAGAATGATGATGGGAGGAGGGAGAGTGGCAGTGAGCCTGGAGCTAAAATCACGAGAAGTGTGGTGTAGTGATCTCGGTCAGAAGATGATGCAAAAGGTGGGTATGGTTTGCTCTGATGATAATTTTTTAGCTGGGGTGTTGGGGAGAATGCTCTGGAAGTAGCACCTGGGAGCAAAAAGACCTACCCAATATGAAGGGCACAGGAGAAGGCATATCCTCAGGGGAGGCAAGATTAGGTTAGAGATAAGAAAGTGACCATGTTTAGAGAAGTGATTGAGAATATGAGGGATTTTGCTTAAGATAGGTTGAAAGTAGAGAAGCCCCAGGAGTTGGGGAAAGGGAGATGGTGACAAAACAGGATGATGGGAATGCCAGGTAACTTAGGAAACTGGGACTGATGTGATAAGCAGGTGAGAGGAGCGTGTGGAAAGCACAAAGCGGTTACAAATTGACCATTTCCTGTGGGTTTGCCTGAAAATGTGAAGGGCTGGCGCCTCCAGCCCTATATTTCCACATAGCACCCATGGCCTGGGGCCCATCACTCCTTTTGGACAGGCTAAGACTACTCTCCCTCAATGTGTTTTTATTCATTTGACTTGTCCTCTGTATGTGGAAACATTTTTTTTTCTTAATTGATTTTATAGAGAGAGAAAGGAAGAGGGAGGGATGGAAACATTGATGAGAGAACATCGATTGGCCGCCTCCTGCATGCCCCCCATTGGGGATTTGGCCCACAATCTGGGCCTGTACCCTGATCGGGAATCAAACAGGCAACCTCTTGGTGCATGGGTCGATGCTCGACCACTGAGCCACACCGGCCGGGTTGTGTCTGTAAACATTTGCCTTGTGACCCCCACCTTAAGAATATACTCCATTTAGTAAATGGAGGTGAATAAAACAACTCTATAAATTGTACAGAGTGTATGTATGTGTGTTGTTGTTGTTCTTTTTTAATCCTTACCTGAGAATTTTTTTTATTTATTTTCAGATAGCGTAGGAGGGAGGGAGAGAGAGGGAAAGAGAAAGAAACATCAATGTGAGAGAAACACATCGACTGGCTGCCTCCTCACGACTCTGACCAGGGCCAGGGACGAACCACAACCGAGGTAAGTGCCCTTGACCGGAATCAAACCTGAGACTCGTGGGTCCGTGAGTGAGCCAAACCGGCCAGGGCTTTGTGTGTGTTATTGATGTTAGGGAGGGAAAAAAACCCGTATCAGGTGGCCACAAATGTGCATAGTTTTTTCTCTCTTCCCCAGGTGATAACTCCTGGTGCATGGAGGGCCCCCAAATATGTAGTTTTGATTAATACAAGGACAGATATTTGTATTTGTATGTAGTATAGTATTTGAAAAAAACCGCAATAGAGTGAAGCCGCGAATGTAGAAGTGCAAAGTAGCAAGGGACGACTGTATATAAATAAAGAATCCTACTTCATGGAAATTCATTTATCGTGGTAGAGTCTGGAACTGATTAACCATGATAAACGAGGGCCTACTGTATTCCTCTTCAGAGTAGAACCTGAAAAATTCCTTTAGAGGTGTGGTCAGTTAGGTGTAGTTCCTGTTGACAATAACTGGATCCTGGCCTGGGGCATCAGAACTTGTGTTAATGCTTACTTGGCTGTAGTTCCTGGGACTTACATGCTGAGGACAAATGCAGCGTTTGAGAGCCTCTACTGCACTTTTAGGTGACCTTCAGTTTCCATCAACCTCTTGGGTTAATTACAGTTTCCCTAGAACTTTGATTAAAAGGTTGAACTTTAGCAGATCTCCAGTAAACATGTTATTATTCAGTACATTTTTCTCTTCTCACTCCCATGGATAGATGTAAACTGATCAGAGACTCGGTGACAGATAGGAGCTAAAGTGCAGTTGGTGTTGGTGATCAGCTGGGGGTTCTCCAAATGAGCATGTTCTGGTGTTCTTGTTCACCATAGCAGAGGCTCCTGTTCTGCTTGCAGGCAAGAAAATTTGGTTCCAGGACAGTTTGAAATAATTATTCAATACATTTATTGAGCATCTACCAAGCTTTATTTTTAGGCCCTGGAAATAGAGCATTGAAAAAATAAGACAGCCCCCAGTCCATAGTAGTTCCATTGTGATGAGAGGAAGGCAATACAATAAAGAAATGAACAATGGCTCAGCACTTAGGGCATTGGCCCTCTGACCAAAGAGTACTGAGTTTGATTCCTGGCAAGGGCATGTACTGCAACCAAGGATGAGGTTCCATCCTGGCCCTGACCCTGGCCGGGGTCATGCAAAAGGGGTCATGCTGGAGGAGTCACATGGGGAGGCAGCTGGTGGATGTCTCTCTCGCTCCCTCCTTGCCTCCCACTTTATCTGAAAATCAATGGAAAAAGATCCTCAGGTAAGGATTTAAAAAAAAAAAAGAAGAAAGGAAATGAACAATGAATATAGATCTGAGGGTGAGTAAATGAAGAAAAAAGTATGGTAAAGTTTTGGTGTGCTTAGTACTGAAGACACGGCTTTTGAGGCTCAAATGACATCAATCCCTAAAGAATATTCAGGGTCTTGCTTTTAGGTCCTCTGAGGGAGAGTGGACCTTTTCCTGGAAAAAGATTCTTTCCACCAGGAACATTCCTTTGCCCTGGTGAGCATTTGAAAGTGAAGCCTGTGATAGAAAAAGCAGGCTTCTCTTTCACCCCCACTCCCCCACCTGTTTCTCATTTTACCTATCCCCAGAGTCATTAGCTTGCTCAGGCTTGTCTCTTGGTAAGTGGTCACTTAGCCAAGCCTCTCTTTGCTATGTCCTGAGGCTGACGGGGGAGGCCAAATAAGGGATAAGATAGCCTGTGATTTGTGTGAGAGGGAGAGAGAACTCTGAAGAGGGCACACT